GAGTCCCTGCATCTCTGGACCCTTCTAGGCTCCATTCAAAAACCAAAAAGCCTTAAAGAGGTAGGTTCAAGAGGTAGGCCCATCGTTATGCAAATGAAGGGAAAGAGTTCAGGGCTGGGCAGGGATTGGGCATCAAGAATAAAGAGAGTTTCAGCCTCTGGCCAAAGAAGTTAGAGGAGTCTTCAGGGTGGGCGGTAAACTCTGTCTTAGGGATTGTTTTTTTTTTTTTTTTTAATTATGTAATTTTGGAGCAACATATGAGAGACTAGATGAAGAGACACCTCTTACTACTGCTGGGGGCTTGCCCCTTTGCCCAGCTGACTTTGGGGAGGGCTGTGTTATCAGACCGACACCGTGTGTGACTGTGCACATGCTTATGCTTGGCTGACTCAACGTTCACACCGCACATGTTTCTTAACCTGCCTGTACATACGTGAATGAACCACGTAAACATTTATACTCACACGCATATCACATATGTACATCGTTACTTGTGCACACACAGAGATGTACACAGACATCCATCTAAGTAATTTTCCAGATGTGGACACACAACCACACACAAAGAACTCTTATATCTATAATCATCTATTTCTTTTTTTTTTAATATATCTTTTTATTTTTTATTTTTTGCAGTTTTTGGCTGGGTCTGGGTTTTTAACTCGCCACCTCCGGCATATGGGGCCGGCACCCTATTCCTTTGAGCCACAGGCGCCGCTCCTATAATCATCTATTTCTAAAAAGCTGCATTTATAAAAGCATTTTAGAAACTAACATTCATTTTTACATTGTATGTAAAGTTGTGAGTCTGCGTCTCCCAAATGGACTAGGTGTTTCTAGAAAGAGCTGTGCCTTATTCATTCTGTACCCCCAGAGATAAGGCTAGCCCTTGGTACTTAACAGATACCACAATTTATCAAATGTGTGCATGGATAATCTTTTTAAAAACCAGGAGACTCCTTGATGTTGAAGTTTCTCAAAATCTAATTCGGTGACCAGCAGTGATATACTAAATGTGCGGTTGTGTAAGAGACACCATCTGTATGAGTGCACGATGAGTGTGAGCCTGGTTTACAGGAAGGTGTGTAGACAAGGGGACTTTTGTCTGTCTGTGCTGAGATGAGCGAGCCAGCCTCTGCCAGTGGTCTACGCATGGCTGTGTGAGTGATATCAGTGTGGGGGTGAGTGTGTAAAAAGACCCCAGTGGAAAGGTGGCGAGAGATACCCCTCTAGACGTACTCCCAACATGTAGGGAGCTCGTACATGTGTGGAGGGCAATGAGTGTGTGTGTGTGTGTGATGAGTAGGGTGACCAGACGTCCTGCTTTTCAACAATTTGTCCCATGGCCCATGGTGTTTTTAAAAAGTTCTGATTTTTGGAAAGAATGCATGAACGGGTGGGAGAACAGTAAGGGAACATACAGTTTTCAGCTGCCATGTGGTTATTTCACCAGAATGAGTTTTATATTATTTTTGTTAAATTTATAATGTTAAACTGTAATAATAACAGATAATTGCTGAGAAGTGATTATCGAAACTGCTTATCAAAGTTTGCATTGTTGTCAGGCCCCACCCTGCCCCTGTCCCCTGCCCTGCCCCCAACCCCTCCCCTGCCCCCGGGCCATGTTGTCCTGCCTTACCGATGTTAAAATCTGGTCACCCTAGTGATAAGGGTCATAGAATCTGCCAGTGTGGGGATGAGGAATGGGGCAAGTGTGGGCCATTCCCACAACACTCTGGAGAGCCTGCCCCCAGCCAGCCGCCCTTCCTCCTGTCACCCTCAGGACCCCATGAGACTCCTGGCTTTCTTGAGCCTGATGGCCCTGGTGGCACTGGAGGCAGGGACAGCTTTTCTCCCAAAGGAGGAGAGGAAGAAGAGAGAAGAGCAGACACTCAGAGAAGGTGATTTTTACCCAGCTCCACCCATGGGGAACTATGTCCTGAGCCCAGAAAACTACGGTGAGGTCTTTGACCTGAGTGATTATGAGCAGCTCACAGACTACGGAGACCAGCTCCCAGAGGTGAGGGACACAGCAGACTAACTGTGTTCCCCACTGTGCTCCCGGGAAGAAGCTGGGAATCCCTGACCCCTCTCCACCGGCCCCTAATGCAAGGGCCTCAATCTTCTACCTCTCTCTCTCTCTGGTGCAAAATCTTGTCCCTCACAGGAACTTGTCACTTAGACAATACTAAGAAAGAGGATACAAACCTGAGATTTCCTCGTTTCTTAGTGGCAAACTTGGTGGGACTCCAAGCCATCAAGCCAGACCCTCAACCATGGCTTACCAGGGTGTGGGTCAGCAATGTCTTCATATTCTCCCTGGAAAAGGAGATGCCATCTCTGTTCTAAGACTGTCCTCCAGTCTGAGGTTCCACCCCTGACCTCTCATGGCCTTCGCAGGCCTGACCTGGGCAGTAGGGATCACAAGCCCTGCAGCCCTGCTTGTTTGCCACGTGGGCCATGTGAGCTTGGTCAGTGTGGAGCAAGGGAAGAGAAGTCCTGCCTGAGAAGTCCAGACACTTGGGTTCCAGCTCTGCCTTTACCACCCGCTGGCTCTATGACACTGGTCCCTTCCCTCCTGGGACCTCAAGTTCTTCCTCCATGTAACAAAGATTCTGGGTCTGATGCTCTTCAAGGTCCCCTCCTTGCTCACTCTCTCTGCTATCTGCCCCCCCCCCACCATGTGATTCTTTCCAAGTTTGAAATTGGTCACTGAGGTTCCCAGAGTTGGACTTCCCAGTTAAGTCCTCTTAGGAAACTTCTCAGAGTTGGACTTCCCAGTTAAGTCCCTCATATGAAAAAGCTGGCCTGCTATGAACTATGTGCTATGTCCTCCAGGATAAGGTGACTAGCCTGGCTCCTTCAAACAGGATCAGTCCCACCAAGAGCTCCACAGCTCCAAGGCTACCCTCTACAAACCCCCTGATGACCAGGCCTACTACACTGGGCCTCCTGGGCTCCCTGGCCAACCACGGTAAGTGCAGTCACATGGTCACAATACCCACAGGTCATAGGCCAAGCAGCTGTGACCCAGGACCAAAGGGTGCCAAAGTGGAATGTGGTCAGGGCTACCCTTGCCAACAGGGAGAGAAGGGGAAATAGCCCCAGGAAAAACAGGAAGGAAAAATCAAAGGCAGAGGCCGGTTGTTTCTAAGACTTTTGCCTGAATGCACAAATTGAGTAGGAAGCAAAAAAAAAATGCAAGAACTCCCTTATGCCCTAGCAAAGCCACCCTACCTTAATTAATTGCATCACTGGGGGAGCAGGTTGAGTGGTAATTAGATTAGAGACAATTAAAAGCCTGTAGAGAAGAATAAATAACTTTGTGGCTGTCATTTGGCATAGAAGCAAATGAAGCAGTCACACTGCTTTCAGCTTCAAATTCCCTCCTTAACAACTCTCTTTCCTTCCCCAATGACCCCCACCCTGGAGCCTGGGAGCTGGCACCCATGACAGCCAGGGCTTGGCACTCTGCTGGGAATCAGAAGGTTGGGCACAGGAAGGATGTAGTTCATTCTGCATTTGCTTGCCTTAGGATGTTTGCCTTAGATGGACCTTGGGTATTGGGGCATCAGCAGAGAAACATTCAATCAGGGACCCATGACCCCTCAGAGTTATGGTCTTGGGCTCAAAGAGACCATAATGAGCCTCAGCTAAACAGCCATTCAAGGCCTTAAGAAAAGAAGTAGGTGTTGCCACCTGCTTCCCTACATCCCTCCCCACCTACTTCTGGTCACTGCTAGCAGAGAAGAGCCGCCCTTCAATTTTGGGGCTGTGTCGCTGCTACCATCATTCTTTCTTGAATTGAGCTGATAATAGTCTCTCAGTAATCTCTGTACCTTGTAATAGCAAATAACAGAAACCACCTACACTATTACTTGTATAAGCCAATAAAGTCTTCCCAGTCTGTCTTGAAGTCCTGGCCTAAGTCTTATGACCATTGGATACAGAGATAGTGTCATGAACTAAGAACAGGGAGGGCTGTTTCCCAGTGGAAAACTGGAATGCTGATGCTATAAGAAAGGTCAATGGATACTGGGCAGGCACTGTCCACTCCACCTTGGTTCTGTTATGTTTCTTGGAGCCACACAAAACATATCTAATTTCTTTCCCACAAGGCAGGTAGCAGAGCCAGCAACCACTGGCCATTCCACTTAATTCTGGCTCTATTTCATCTTTGCTGTACTTTTTGAGACCAGAGTGGAACTCTATGGAAAAGAGAACTAGAAATATCCACAAAAGTACAGAAAAATGTACACAAGGACCGGGATCTGATGAAAGCACAAATAGACTCAGACTGGTAGTAACTGAGGGTGAACCTGCTTCTCTGAGGTTGAGAGTGGAGTGACAAGCTGGGAACTGCCAACAGCACTGTTTGGATACATAGTGTCTGTTGGTTCTGGGCAGCAACCCATAGGTTATCAACAGGACACCAATGACCATAGCTTAGACACTCCTTGGGGCAAGGGTCATTGGCTCCAGAAGCTGAAGTGATCTCTTTCCCTTTGTTCTGAGCCAGGTCTGCCCACCTGTCTGGTCTGCGTGTGCCTTGGTTCCTCTGTGTACTGTGATGACATTGACCTAGAGGAACTTCCACCTCTCCCCCAGACAACTGCCTACCTGTATGCCCGCTTCAACCGCATCCGCCATATCAGGGCTGGAGCCTTTGAAGGGCTGAGTATGTATTACCCTGAGAAAACTGGAGAGGGGGCCAGGAAGAGGGAACCACCAAAGTCCTTCCCTTGCCGTCCAGCCAGGTGAATAGTCACCAGACCCTATTGGCTCTCAGTTTCTTCAGCTATCAAAGTGAAAAGGCCCCAAGCCTCTCTAATTCCTTTCCTTGAAGAGTTTAAATGGTTAAAATGACCTGTTCTTATTTTATCTCCCAAAAGTTCTGGGAAGCAGGCTGGGCCAGGCAAGGTGGCTCACCCCTCTCACTCTGAGAGGCTGAGGTGGGTGGATTACTTGAGCTTAGCAGTTCGAGACCAGCCTAAGCAAGAGCGAGACCTCATCTCTATTGAAAATAGCTGAGCATTGTGGTGGGCAACTGTAATCCCAGCTACTCAGAAGACTGGGGCAAGAGGATTGCTTGAGCCCAGGAGTTTGAGGTTGCTGTGAGGTATGATGCCATGGCATTCTATCCAGGACAATAGAGTGAGACTCTGTTAAAAGAAAAAAAGGCCTGGGAAACTGGGAAGGGAAGGTATGATCAAGCTAGCATTTTCAGAATGTCCCAGCAAATATGGTTTTGAGACCAGCAGGCCCCTGGACAGAACTATCTTAAATCTAACTGATGCTATTTACATAGCTGTGTGTTTTGCTTCTTAATGCCTTATGCCCTGATTGAGACGGGAGGCCTGGGCTCTAACCCAGATACTACTAGTGCTCGCCCGCAGCGTTTCGAGGCCTCAGTGCCCTTTGTGTAAACTAAGGAGTGGAAGTGGAAGGGGTCCAGGGGTTCCTGGGCCTGTTGGTTCTTGCTCTCAAGAGATTTCTTCCAACCAATCCAAGGTGGGCAGCCACCACACAGGAAGAACTCCAGGGCAAGGTACTGAGGAATCTGGGGCTTTTCCAGGAGTCCTGATTTATGATGTTATTTCCTCTGGTTTGGACCTAGTGCAGGTGGGGAATTGGTTAGAATTCCCTAATCTTGAGAGGAATGGAGCAAGGTATGGAGTCAGGTTCGACAGGGGACAAGGAAAGATGGTGTGTTCTGGTATCTCTCTTTGTTCATCCTCAACGTCCCTCAGCAAAACTGAAGAGGATTGACCTCTCTAGCAACTCTATCTCCTCCATCGATAACAACGCTTTCCGCATGCTGCCCGCCCTTCGGGATCTGATCCTCCCAGGGAACCAGCTGGCGGCTCTGCCGGTGCTTCCTCGTGGCATAGAGTTCCTAGATGTCCGCCTGAATCGGCTGCAGAGCTCAGGGATACAGCGGGACACTTTCAGGGTGAGTCAGGGCCTTGTGTCCATCATCTGCCACTGCTGGCCTCCCTCACCTCCACCCACACACCATGCCCTCATGGGGTTTCCTGCTCCAACCCTGTCATGGGGTATAAAAATCAAACTCCATTTTTTCATTCTTTAGCATTTGTTGTTTATTAAGATTCTTTGGGTTGCAAGAATCTGATTCTGATGTTTTATAGCAGGTCATCCCAAGAACCTGCGTGAACGAGAAACACAGCACCATCAGGCCTCACGGGCCTGTTATCAATGAGTATTTCCTTTGAGTGTCATATTAAATGCTTAGAAAGTTTCAGGTTTTAGTGTACTTAGGATTTCAAACTTTTGGATTTGGGATGTTCAACTTGTACTAGGAATGGGGATGAGAAACCACAGTCAACATCTCTTTCTCTCCTTCTTTGGGGCACATGGTCTCTTGGTTTCTTTCTGCGCATCTGCTTCATTCACTTCTCTGTACACCAGTGTCCCCGGCATACTCATAGCTTCTACTCCCTGAAACGCTGGCTTACCTGTGACTTTGGCTTGCAATAGAGCTGACTGCAGCCCAACTCTAGATATCCTTTTATCTCCCAAACTTACCTTTGAATAATACATGATCTTTCCATGATCAAATTCTCAAGAGATTCTCATTGGTCATTGGCTGGCTAGTTCCGATGGCAAGGGCTAAGTTATAGGACACAGTAGCCCTTGTCCATCCTACAGAGCCAGGAAGAGCTGTGGGTGTGATTCAGTGAAGAAGTGGGGTGAGACCTAGCACGCTGCCTCAGTAGTGAGGTGTGGCTGTGACAGACCCATTGCTCCCTCTTTCAGGCTTCAGCTCCTTCCTGTGGACTTTTGAGCACACACATGCCCTGTCTGTCTGTCTCTCTCTCCCACTTTCTCTCTCTCTCAAGTAGTAGAATCTTTTTCATGGACTAATTCAAATTTAGAAGCATCAAATAAATCGAATCAGAGCTGCCTTTTTGAAACAGCGTGAGGGCTCAGAAGTTATGCCTACGTGCTCTTCCCTGCAACCCCCTGCAAAATACCTTCCACCCTCTCGGTCTCCCCCTGTCTGCAGTGGTCCTAAAGGGGTTTTTAGGGAGCATAGTGTTAATACCACTGCTGTGATGGGGAGAGCACTGGGCTAGGAATCAGAAACCTACTATGAGACCTCAGGCCTCAGAGTTCCCATGTCTGAGTGAAGAACTGGGAATTCGTGATCATTGAAGTCCCCGGCTGCTCCAGCCTGAGACACAGCCCAGCTATCTCCACCGTGGGAGCTGCTGCTTTGCCTTGACTCAGGGCTATTTTCTTAGTCCAGGATAAGGCATGGGCTTTGGAACCAGAGACCTGGGTTTGTGGGAGGGTCACCTAATCTGTCTCATCTTGTTTTCTCATCTGCAAAATTAGGGTAATAATACCTAGTTGACACAGTTGCTAGAAGATTAAATAGACAGTATTACAAAGGGCACAGGAAGATGAAGTATATCTAGTAGATGCTTCATAGCTGGCAGCTGTTATTCCTCACTGCTCTCTGAGCACCCCCAAAGGCTGATGTCTTCCTGAAACCTCCTCTGAGTAATCCACCCGACTCTGAGCACCCCCAGTCACATGCCCACTTTGCCTCTGTGTGCCTGTCCTCATTCTGCTGGTCTGGAGTCCCACGAGGGTACTCTCTGCCTCTGCTCCAGGTTTGGTGTTTGGAGACTTTTCCTTGGGGAAAATCCCTCTGACAGCAGAGAACTTGAAGCTGAGCTGAAGTGTCCCCTGGTCCTCCCTTCTACACTCTCCCTGCCCCACCCAGGCACCTCCCAGGTGTCATTAACCACTGACTAGCTCTTTAAGCTCCAGCTGCCTGCAGCACAAAGGCTTCCTTCTGCATCCAGTTGGAGTTAGTTTCTATACGCTCCTTAAAGGCCTGCATCTCCTGCAGCACCCAGCCTGGTGCAAAGGCTAAAAGAAACCCTGAGTTAATGAATGAGGCCACCAAGCATCTGACCTCACCAGCAGCTCCTCGGGGCCAAGGTCCCACAAGATCCGCCCCCCCCCCCGCCCCCACCTCTTTGTGTTCGGCACAGGTGATGGAGAAGCTGCAGTTCCTCTTCCTGGCAGACAACCTGCTGGAGTCCATCCCCGGGCCTTTCCCCCTGAGCCTGCGCTTGCTGCACCTGCAGGTGAGGAGCCACACCGGAAGGCGGGCAGCCGCAGAGGACAGAAGTTAATAAACAACAGGGCCAGGTCGCAGAGTAAGGCTTGGGCAGTGGTGGGGTCTCCTTTATTATCCTTTAGATCAGTGATTTTCAACAGTGTGCTGTGAGAGGATCTTAAGTGTGCCACACAAATTGTAAAGATCATTCATTAGATTATTTTCAAAAGAAGTTCAAAGCACAGTAAGTATATTCCTTTTTTTTACTCTTTTTTTTTTTTTGATTGACGTAATTTAAGTGTGGCATGGAAGTTTAACTACAGGTTCAAGTGAGCAGTGAGATTAAAAAAAAAAAAAGACACTGCTATAGCTAATTGTCCATGGCCCCAGTTTAATTTTCTCGATTTCTTTTTAAAACACTTCCCCGCCCCCATGTCTTTCGTCTTGCCCAGCTGCTTTTCCTTCTTTCATTTTCCTACCCTCTGTCTGTCCACTTCCTCCTTCTCTTTAGTCCTCAACTCCTTCCTCTCTCCTCCCCATCCCCTCATTCCTCTTAATCTCTGCCCTCTCTCTCCATCCATCTCCTGTGGGTCTCCTCCTCTCACCCTTGTGTATGACCTTGACCCTATGGGCCTTCAGTTTCTCCGGCTGCACAAAGGAGTGCCTTCCGTGCTGGCTAAGGGCAGATCCTCCAGTGGGGCTCGCTGCCCTGTGTCCTTTCCAGAATAACAGGATAGAGACCATGCAGAGAGACACCTTCTGTGACCCCGAGGAGCACAGATACACTCGCAGGCTGTTGGAAGACATCCGCCTGGATGGTAACCCGATCAACCTCAGCTTCTTCCCCGGCGCCTACTTCTGCCTGCCTCGGCTCCCCATAGGCCGCTTTACCTAGTGCTGACCCTGCCACTCATCCCAGGTGAGAGCCCCACAAGGACCAGCTGCAGGCCACAGAGCCCAGTCCCCGATCTCTGAGTGCTCTTTAGTCCCGACATTAATCAGCCTCGTGATCCAGTTGCAAAAATCACACACACCCAACTCACACACACATTCATGCTGAAATATCCTTCCGTAGCCAAATTTGTGTTTCAATATATTTGTTTTCAATATAATGTATTTGTGTTTCTCCATTCTCTTTCCTTAACACCTATAGCCCTGGCTCAGAAAATAGCAAAGGTCTTTCCCATATTCCCCATCCCTCCTGCCCACACAGAATGTGAGGAAGGCTATGAAAGAGGAAGAGAAGAAGAGAAGGAATGAGGAAAGAACGGGGGTGGGGGAGGGAAGCAGCGATATGCTGGGGCCAGCTCTTACCACTAGGCTCGCAGAGACCAATTATTTAATATTCCAGAATTTTTCAAGTGAGTTGTTAAACACAGCCATGAAAAATTAAATTATATGAACTTGCAATTAAGTACATTATACTGAAAACAAATATAATGCATACTCAAAACTCGTCACTTCCCAATTATTTCACTGTATTTTACTATGGACCGCGTTCTCGGAAGCTATTTGTGTCCACGGAGTCTGTAAGGTGGAAATTCTACATACAGTGGTGTGCTGCTAGGCACCTCTTCCCAACTCCTTGTTCAGTGACATCACATTGGTCGTTAAAAATTGTCCATGGTAGGTCAGAAATGGATAAATGTGAGGCCAAGGCGGGTGGATTGCCTGAGCTCTCAGGTTCAAGAACAGCCTGAGCCAGAGCGAGACCTTGTCTCAAAAAATAGCTGGGCGTTGTGGCAGGCGCCTGTAGTCCCAGCTACTCAGAAGGCTGTGGCAAGGGAATTGCTTGAGCCCAAGAGTTTGAGGCTGCTGTGAGCTGTGACGCCATGGCACAAAGTGTCTACCGAGGGCAACAAAGTGAGACTCTGTCTCAAAAAAAAAAAAATGGATAAATATGACAAATCAGGATTTTTTTTTAGACAGCTGATTGTTAAATGGTTACCAGCACATCACTGAGGAGAAAGAATTGCTATTTAAACTAGCTCTCTGCTACCTCCATACCACCCTTCTGGGGTGAGGTGGGTTTCTAGGGGGCATTCCTTTATTTCTTGCTCTTCCTAGGCCAGGGGTCCTAAAAACTTTTTAAACAGGGGGCCAGTTCACTGTCTCTCAGACCAGATCATTGGAGGGCCAGACAGCGGGCCCTGGGACGAGTCAGCTGCTAAGAAGGACAGGCAGCAATGTCAAAAACACGGGCTGGATAAATGTCCTAGGCGGGCTGCATGCGGACACCTGTCCTAGGCTGTGGCCTCCTGTTAGATTTGGAGGGAACCATTCATAAGGATAGAAAACTTACATGAATCTTCATCTGATATGCTTCTTGCAGCCCTTGCCTATTCCCTGGCTCACAGGCCAGTCTCTGAGCATGGGATTTCTAGCCTTCCTAGGCGCTCCTGCATGTTCAACCACAAGAGGGCAGCCTTGTGCAAAGATAAATAAATAAATATGCTGTTACTCACCTGCCGGCATTTGGATCCTGGGTGGGGCTGCTGAGCTGGGAGGATGGGAAGAAGGGCAACTATTATGTAGCTAATGATATTCCTTGAATTATAAGGGAGGGGAGATGCTACCTTTCCCTGACTCTTTAAGGAGATGTTGGGCAATGGGGATATATTGGATGGTGCTTGGTAGCACGTATCCATTCAGGCTTTAGAGAGGTGAGGTAATCACTTTAGTACTTACCTGCTACGTGCTGGTGATATGATGTGCAACAGAAATGGATTCCTTTTCCTCCTGGAGTTTAGGGTCTGGTATGGAAGACAGGTGTTAAATAAGCAATCACACAAATAACTATGCTATTCACCTCATGATATGTGCCATAAAAGGGATGTACAGAGGACCACAAGAGCTCACAAGAGCCTCTCTCCTGGCTCAACACCTGTGGCTTAAGTGGCTAAGGCGCCAGCCACATACACCTAAGGTGGTGGGTTCCAAT